TCGAGGGACACGAACCGGTTCACGGTACCGGTTTCCCGGTCAAGTGGCCACTCCGGTTCGTCAACGGGCCGATCCGGCCGATAACCGGCCATAACCGCGTCTAGGGCTGGGCATAGGTCTGGGTCGAGGAATTATGGACAAATTATCTACGTGGCCCGATCAATCGATTTTTGCTAAATATTGAATACCATTAGTGGTCCACCATTGTGGATTTAATAAAAATGGTAAATTACAAACACCCCTGATGTATGGTCAATTTACGAAAAAAATTCCTCTTGTTTAGATAATTGCATATACCCTTCAACTATGATTTTCTCTTACACATACACCCTTATGGTGTCAAATTCAACATAATCGTCTATATTTCGTGAATGTGCTCTAATTTGTACTCGTTTTGTGTAAATATGCAGTTTTTAATGCACCACACACTGATATATACAAGCCAACAAACACATATTATGATCAGCTTGCTTCAAAATGTGGAGTTCGAATGGGATAACACGGGTACAAGAGTGATAGTATTCCATATAATCTCGAAGATTCCACTAAATTTGAAACCGCAAGGGTGGCGTGTAAGAAGATTTATAGTTGAGGGATAATTAAAACCAAACATGAAGGGAGTTTTCGTAATTTAATCATATCTCAGGGACGTGGTTGTAATATACCCTAATAAAAATGATAATTCCAAACTTAAATCCTTATTTAGGTATAACCTCTTTAGTATCAAATTGCCACATTTACCCTTATTTTATCCAAATAAAATAAGAAAAGAAAAAAAAAGATTTGCAAATCAGTTATCCCGTTAATTTGTTTATCACATCTAATCTTTCTCCATTTCTGCGCAAATCTCATCCCCAAATTCCCTAGTATATCGAAAACTCATTTCATCGTTTTTCTCTTAATCTCTAAAAACTGCAACAATGGCTTCACGTTTACTGTAAGAAAATTTGTATTATTTTCGGACAAAAACTTCTTCATGCTATGGCACAGTTATTGGTTCAGCGCGTCACATAGCTTTTCCTGCCAAAAATTGACGTGTACTATAGTGTTTTTCCGGTATTCTGTTATTTTACCTTCATCAAGTAAGCTTTCGCCACACAACCAATATTGTATGCGTCATAGTGAATTTAATAAGTGGAAAAGGCAAAATAAGCAAAATCCACTTTGCACAATAGTCGACTTAATAAAATGGAAGGTCAAAATTCACTAACCACAATGGTGGATTTAATAAAGAAAATGGCAAAAACCACTATGTGCAAAAATATTAGGGTGCATTTGGATGGAAGGATTTGGGGAAGGGATTTCAAATCCATAATAACAAATCCCTTGGACTTGTTTGGATTGTGGGATTTGGGGATGGATTTCAAATACACACCCCTCCTTTTTAGTTATGTTTTGAGCAATTGAGGTGGATTTCAAATGACTCCAAAATTGGAGTCATTTCAAATCCCTTCCCCAAATCAAATCCCTCCCCAAATCCTTCCATCCAAACGCACTCTTAGATTTAATAATGAAAAT